CTCAGCAGGGTCCTGGAGGTTGCATGGGAGTTCGCCCAACCAGTCTACATGTGTTTTGTGGACTTGGAGAAGGCTTTCAAACGTGTCCCTAAGGGGGCTTTGTGGGGGGTTCTCTGGGAGTATGAGGTACCGGGCCCTTTAATACGGGCTATCAGGTCCCTGTATGATCGGTGTCGGAGTCTGGTCCGATAATTAATAAAATAAAAAAAATAATAATAATTACTGATATAAATTTGTTCTAAAAGTATTACTGATTGCACCTTAAAAATTAGGTAACTTTATGTTATTACAGGTAAAGTTTAAACAGTAATGATTTATTGGTTAATGTCAAGTTGTCATAACAAAGACATTTCGAATAATGTCAACTTTATATTAAAAGTGTCATAATTTACCGAATGACACTTTATGACAACAGTTATAAATATTCATGAAGGTTTATTGATGTTCATGACAGGTGTTATGTCATGTTTATGAAAGTGTCATGACAGTCTTATTCACCCCCCTTCAAATAAAGTGTTACCATAAAATGTATCTATCTATGGCAGGAAATAGCATGCATTATTACGTCATTTCCATTAAATCAGTGTCAAAAGGTCTTGAAACAATATTATCGTTTATCGCAATAATTTTTTAGACAATCGCTCAGCAAAATTTGTTATCGTGACAGGCCTAGTTAGGATTAAAAAAAAGTCTTTGCATGACTGCATGAGAAGCTCTGTTAAAGTAAATGTAAATCCCTGGAAAAGTTTTCATTTTTAGTTGGATTGCTTACAAATAAAAATGTGAAACCTTTAGCTTGAATTTGTATATAACAATTTGAATAATATTCATTCAGACGTGCAAAACTGGTCGAGAAGACTTGCAGCTGTGATTGCAGTAAAAAGTGTCAAGATCTAAAAAGTGCGGTGTGCATTTATATTTAAAGAACTTTTTTAAAATTGTCATTTATCAATTCACACTTTTTGTGAGTATATTGCAAAAAAACAAACTGAAGTTTTGTGATCAAATGTAAAAAACAAAAAGAAGTGCTGCTAACCTGATGCCAGCTAAATTCTGAGTGTAGGAACCAGAATAGCAGCTAGCTGCCGGGATGTGTGTGTTCAGGTGGATCCAGCCCAGTTCCTGTCTGTGTGCGGGCGGAGCTCCTCCAAAGCGCCCTGCAGGTTGGCAGCAGCATTTGTTCACCTCTGCCAGCAGAATTACATTCCAGTGGAGATCCCCGGCCAGTGTAGTAAGAACAGCAGCATGAAAGTAACCCAGAAGTCCACTTCAGCTTTTCAAAATCATTTAAAATGAATTAAGCTCTTCTATTTTCTCTTTTGTTTCAGTGAAGGTCTGAAGGACGATCAGCAGTTAACCTCTGCTAACTTCTGTTCAGAATGAATATATTTACATACCACTGTCTTCACTCTCTATTCATTTAAATAACATATTTTAATGTGTTGTTATATTTGCTAATGTACTTTAAGAAAGATTCTAGAATATTTTCAACAACTTGAAATAAAATCCTTCTGTCTTGTGAATCAGTTTATCGTGATGCAGTAAATAAGTTGCATAAAGAAAACTTGAAGGCGGGCTAATGTGTGGAATATTTTTTTTGCTTGTTTTCTTTTTTTTTACTTCTTCAATTTGCATTTTTGCCTGGAGCCATTGGAATTGTTCTGCTTTGGGTAAATTGGTTAACAAAAAAGTGGCTTTAGCATTTAACGTGTGGGATAACTGGCGAGGTTCTTTTTGTCATGTTGAAGTTTCTACTGAAATGCATAAAAGCACTGAGCCAACAGGTGCGATTAGGGAATTAATAATTTACTGCGATGTCTGAATTATTGTGAAGTCTGAGGAAAGTCAATCTTCTGATTTAGAAGAGTTTCATAATGCTCATCTGTGTTTCATAAATGCAGCTGCAAGATTGGCTGAATTTGATGTTAGTTTGTCCTAAATCATCCCAGAAAACCAGTTGCTAAGAGTTTTGTAAAATAAATTCTTGTGAGAATCTTTTTCTTTCCATTAGTGACATTTTGACCCTTTCACCACATCATACTTTTGGACATTTCATTAAATATTCAGATTCAAAACTGAGTTATCCGTCACAGGACATTCCAGACTGTTTATATGTAAATTAATACTAGCAAAGGTGAAGATTCATACCTGCTCTGAGAAAAGATTCTACACTTCATATAGAGAAATGTTCCCTGATTTCAAAACTTTAGCAGAAGTGTTGCAGCAGAGTTCAGATTTAGCCTCCAGAACATTGAAAACCCCATGAGAAGTCAGCTGTCCAACACAAAAGAAAAGGCACAATTCAGGTCCAAGTGGAAGTTCAGAGAGGTATATTGTGTTTAATTTCATCTCATTACGCTATAGAGAATTCCAGAGAAAACCCACACACTCCTTTCCTTCAACACAGTCTCTTGTGGATCACGTCCTGTTTCTCCTGGTCCTCACACACAGACACTGTTCAGAGGAAGACCAATCCGGCTACTTCCTGAAGTTCAGCCTCCTGTGTTGGTCCATCACTGTGTGGTTTGGCTCATCCACAAAACACAACAGGTAGTTCTACAGAAAAGGTCATCAGGACTGACCTTCCCTCCATCCAGGACCTGTACAGGTCTGTGGTCTGGAACAGAGCAGCTAATGGGCACAAGCTGTTTGCCTTCATGTCATTACTACGGAGTCATTTTCAGTACCGGTTGGTCCATAGGGGGTGTGGAGAGGGAAAAAAAAAATCTAAAGATTATATATATTAAAAAAATTATCAATGTCATTTTCCTTAATAGTGTGTGGCTAAAGGTAATCTTAATTATTTATGCAACATTTCCACCAACTGACTGTCATTCAACTGTGAATTTTCCCCAACAGACTCAATTTCTCATCAGGGAAGCTTTGGAGCAAAATGGCAAATCATATGTGGTTGCTAGGGAAGAATCAAAAAGTATGGAAGTATCAGGCCTGCTACTGAAAATGCCAGAAGTTTTGGATTGCTGTCGTGACATTCATGATGGCGACGAGGAGACCTGAAGGGGATCTTAGACAGAATTCTCCATCTTGAATGACACACAGGATTTTCCCAAATGGCTGGTGAGCTACAGCTTCTGTTGCTCAGCGTGTTTATTAGCTTTAGCAAACATATTGCTCTGCTCTTTTCCTGTTCATCAGCTGCTACCATTTTTTATAGCTGATAATCAGCCATGATTATCAGCTAGGAATCGATACTGTGGTTTATGTTGCTCTGGTTAGCATAATGCTAAATCTGCTCCGGGTAAATGTTGCTAAGGTTTGTTGTTTTTATTTTTAGTGATGAAGCTCCTGTTGCCTTTTTACTTCTGTTAAAGTGTTAATGTTTGAAGAATGTTATATTATTGTGGAATTGTCGTCATTTTACGAACATTCATTTGAATGTTTTCCAGAATTTGTCTCACCAGGCAGTCGCCGCTATTTGCACAGAACACAGAGACGGTTTGTTCCCCCAGGCGGTCTCTCTGAACACAATGAACATCTTAAAGCCAGAGCAGTCAGCTACTCTGCTGTGAAACATCCATCCATCCATCCAATAAGTTTCACAGCTTATTTTGCTGTGAAACAAAATAAGCATATTTGCACTATTTTAACTAGAAACATTGAGTGTACATGTTAATATATTGTTTTAATTTTTCTAAATATTTTTTTGGTCTTTTTTTTTTCTTACCCTGGCGACCTCATGCCGCATAAGAGGAAGACAATGGCTGACTGGATGGGTAACATTATGCTGGTAAAGCCATGTACAGAACGATGAGGGAGTGTTAATGCTGCTAAAGAGAGATTTGAGTCCAAGTTATTCATGATCTGTATCCTGTGACTTACAGTGAGCCAGTGATGGAAACTTTTTAAATGCATAACTCAAATGAGATATGTGGGAGTCGCAAACCGATCAGATAACAGCCTGAATGGAGTTCATCCGAGGCTGAGCGGCGCCCACAGCTGCCTTTTCAAAAAGCAGAAAGCAGATGGTTATTTATTATTATTTAATTTTGGGTTTATCTCTTAGCAAAGTGTGAATAAATTAAAGGGGAAACATGTTCGCAACACACCGTCACAAAGCAGAGGGCCGTGCTATGAAAGAGTTCTTCTTTCACTTCAATTCAGTTCAAAAATACTTTACTTATAGGAAAATGAAATCTAAGCCATATCGTCCAAAGTTCTTCCAAGTGTTGTTGTAGATGCTGATGCTGTGATCAGGTAGGCTCTCTTGTGGTCTATATTGCAGCGCATCTGAAGTAGCCTCTGACTGAAGATTCTCTTATGAGACAAGTTTGCTACATTTTAGCAAGGGAGTAAATCCCATCTCATTACTGGGGGGGGGCAATAAACAGAAACATTTTTAGGAGCAATTTTTTTGGGGGGTAGGTGTGGGAGGGGTTGGCAAAGTTACATTGATATGTATCGTAAAATGTGGTTTAAAAAGTTTTTAAATCACCTTCAAACTGAAGGATCAAAAATGACTAGTAATGCACATCAAATGTGTTTTTCTCAGTAAACAAAATGTTGAGAAGTAAAGCTAAAAGTCTGTATGAGTTTTGTTGAGACTCACTGAGCTAATCTCTGCTACACCTTTCCAAAAATTTAAGGTTCTAAATAAAAACAAGTTTTAATGAGTAACTCATAAACATTGATTTATTGTAATGGCTCCCAATACAAGTTATGGGGTATTTAAATTATAACTTAAGCTGCTACCTTTTTTAGTTTTGTCATGTCCTGGATGGCTGAGAGCCAACAAGTAGATAGAAACGAATATCAGGGGAATATCAGGGGAGAATCAAAACATAACATACGTAACACTTAAAGCGCCAGGGTTTATATAGAAAAATATTCTGATTTTATTTAGTGGTTTTAATGGCTCTATGTTAAAGATGGTGAGAAATAAAGGCACAACTTTCTTGTTGGGCAATTCTAGACTTTTCCAAGATTGGGGGTTCCGGGCCCCATAACTCCCTTGGGATTTCCGCCCCTGCGTTTTAGTGCATATAGATCACATGCTTGCATTAAGTCTATGCAAAATGAATTTCAGAAATTTACTTTAAATCTAATAAGTTACTCACCTTCAAATTCTACATGGTTGCAGTCACTGATCGCAAATCGTGTTTTTACAAGAAAGTTTGGCCACTTGAAAAAGAAAAGATGGGTGGAAGTTTTCTGTACGGTCCAAGGTGTAGCTTGATAAGCCAGGTAATTTCAGACACCTGAAGCATCTTTCAGATCATAGTTTGGCAATAAACACAACCACTTCTGATCATTATGGATTACTTTGTCATTTTACATCATAAAGGTCAATAAGTAGAGATCGCAGGTTGTGTGTTTTCACACCATGCTTTTGGGAATGCAGAAACAAAGGCTTACAACTCACAAATGTACGAGTTGTATTTGACAGTTCCTAATTTTTTGTCCCTAACAAGTTTATTTAGAGGGGCATAAGATTCCTCTATTTCAAGCTGAAACTTTGGGCTTCATTACATATTAAAATAGAATTGATTGACAATCACTTTTTTAAAAAAAATATAATAAATAGGACATTGTTGGAGAACCTAACCCTGCTAAGTCTCACTAGTTTCTCCCTGGCATGTCAGCTGTGTTCCTCCATGAGGCTTCATGATGTTATGTAACTTCACAGAACAGCTGGACGTCCACTGAGAGTAAATTACACACAGGTGACGTTCAGATCACACTTTTCATGTAATCATTTGTCAAAGAAAAACCTTTCAGAACCACAAATAGTTTTCTTTCATCATCACAATTCTACACTATGTTGTGTCTTTTCAAAAATAGAAGTGAATGTACACTTCTTGTTCATGTTGAAGATAAAATTAACAAAAGAAAAACACCCACAGGGTCACATTCAGAAGTTTTAATGTGGTCTTATTTTTGGAGCTGCTCTTGTTTTCTCGCCCACAGAAGGAATTTCTGCAAAACACATTTCAGCTCTTCTCTTTGATAAATGAGTTCCAGGTGAGGAAACTGGATAAATAAAGTGATTCCTGTCAGCAGCCTTCTGCTGCTACTTCTGAAACGCAGACACCAGTTCTTACTCAAGAGCCTCAAAAAGCCAATAACAGCGTATATAATACGTTGTAAAAATAAAATGAAATAGAATTCTGATGCTGCAGCATGTCATATTAAACCAGTGTAAATGAGTTGGCTGTGGTTGGAATACCAGCCTTTATCCTTCAAATCAGATCCTCCAGGAAGCTTCAGTCTGTGGTTCCACTCACACTGTAATGATGCCAAAAGCTGTTTCAACATAACTGACAGATTTTTAACTTTATTTTTGTTCCTTTTGCATTGCTTAATATTACAACCACAAAATTTAATGCATTTTTTGGGGTGGAATTTTATATGAAAGGGTAATATAGTAGTACACAGGGTTTTGAATATTTGCATAAATATAAAACTTGAAAACTATTATCCATAGATTTCAAGTTGGATTAAATTCAACCATTTGCAATAAAATCAAATGGAACTGAATGCCTGTAGAAGTTAGTACAGAAACAATGAACAGTTTTTAATTTAACTGTATATTGACAACATTAGCAGCATTTGCAAATCAAAAACTATTTTTGTTACTAAATTATGAAATAAATATAAGCTCAACAACGAAGATATTTTTTTGGTTTTAATCTGTTATTCAATCATCAGATTGGTGCAAAGTGATGTTACTCAGTTCTCAAGTGTTTCAGAAACCCCTGATCCTTCATATAAAAAAAAAAAACCTTTTAGAAATATGGGCTGTGAACGCCAGCATTAACATTAGTGTCTGTGCTGCTAATGTTTAGCATTGAGGTGATATTTTAGGCTTGAATAGCTTTACTGACTCGTTTTAGCACAACTTGAGGACAACAGTAGTGTTTTCCAGCGTTCCATTGCATTTTTTAAAGCAAATATTAACCCTCAGTGGACCAAAGAGAAACGTCTTCATTATCCATCGCTTGTCCGTCAGATTATCGGGTGCACCAGAAACGGCTGAATATACTGTAAATGTTCCTTTTAAAATTTGTGTAATTATTTAACTAAATTAATGTGTTAAAGTCCCAGCCCTAATTTTTTTATAAACAAAAATGCAAATTTATTTTACTGTGAGGTCTTCTGTTTCACCTGCTCTGCAATAAATACAATTTCCAATATTTAGATGAACATAAGCAGAAAGGAACAAATTACTGTAGGTCTAAAAAAAAACAATTTATGGTTTTTGCTTTAATGTAAAAATGTGTGCAATTGCCTAACATTTTAGGATGAATGTTTTCTGTTTTGTTAGTCTGTTTCCACCAACAAAAATGAAAATGGCCTTAAAAATAACAAACAAAAAAAGTGAATCAGTGGAACAAATGTTATTGTCTTTTACTACACAATTTGAAAATGAAAGAAAAAACATTTGTTCTTTCTAACATTTGATCATTGAAGATCTCATCCTAAAAGTTGCTCAATAATTCTCCCAAGAAACCCCAAACGTGTTGTTGTAAAATTGTTCAGGTTAACCTCAGTGAGAGCTTTGGAGTTGCTTCGTCATAAAAGAAATTCCTAAACTTTCCTGATACTTGTCCACACAGCGAGAGTCCAACTGAGTCCAGCAGCAGCACAAAGGAAATGTGTTTCCTGCTGGAGAAGACGGACGATGCGTCTGTCATTTCATGGCTCCCCTGCTGACAGATTTAAATCAGACTTTATTGCCAATCTTTCTTCTCATGCTCTGCCCTGAAACATGAACACATCTTGTGTAGGGAGCTGGACTGCTTCTCTGTGACCTTCAAACCTTTTCATGTTTGTGAGTGAGAAAGGAACTTGGGAAACACACTAGATTGTGTTCCATTAAATGATCTCACTGGTGTAGTCAGCCATCCTTCCTTCACTTTGCTTTCATTCAGAGTCAGTATTTTTCTTCTTTAAAACATCCTGTATTCATTTTAGATAATCAAACTAAATATCAGACAAAGGTAACCTGACTAAATGCAAAAAGCTGTTTTCTCAGCAGTCTTTTAAATTCTTCCAGAAAACATTTGATTGAGCCACAATGGAGGGTTTTTGAGCATTAAAGACATGCTTAAGCTAGCACTACACCATTTCAGTTGGAAGTAATTTGAACTTTGACTAGCTCTCTCCAAACCCTTGAGTCTTTTTTTTAATAAGGATAAACTTGCTGATGAGCTTCCTGTTGTGGTCTTGTTGTGTAATCCACATGTGCTTTATCTTAAGGTCACAAACAGATCGTTGAATGTACTCCTTCAGGATTTTCTGCTAAAGAGCAGCAGGTTGTGAAGCAGCAAAGCAATGAAAAACACAAAGTTAACATGTTTTAAGGCTATGATACTATTTACATACAGAGCCTGTTTTATGGGATGCACACATTTTGAAAAGTTTGGAGATCATGGAGATGCTATTTGCCAAATGTAAGACAGGCGTCTGTTGGGTTTTGTTGAGGCCTCCAGAGCTTTACATGTTCTGGAGTTAGTTTGTTTTTTGGTTTATGACTGTTTTAACAATTAATTGACTTATGATTAATTGTTGATGAATGGTTTCTTAAATTCAAATTAGATCATCTCTAACAAAAAGTATTAAATGTTAATTAGAATTAAAAGTTTATTGATCTTTGAGAATGTGCTCTTGCATTATTATGTCATTATCATTGTATTACTTGAAAATGGTCTCAAACAATATTATAGTTTATTGCAGTAACTTCTGGGGCAAGTTATTGTCAAACAAGATGTATTAGTGACAGGCTTACTCCTTACATTTCACATTATCAGAACTCATTCAGCTAAGCTGCATGGTAAAGCAACTTCTCAACCAAAAACTACTGATGTGCTACGAAGGTAAGGAGGTGCTAAAAAAATCAATAAAGTTTTATGCTTTTTGTGTTTTATTGTACTATTAAAGTTCCTGTTTTGTTATATTTTAATAATATGTCTAAGTTTAATGTGAGAAAACAATAATTTCCATGTTTTTTGTCAGTATTTAATACGGCTGACATTAAATGATGTTAAAATTGTTTAATTTCAGCATATAATGAAAACTTTAGCCTATTATGTTATGGAAAAACGGTTGACCCTGCCTGCTAGAATACTACCTGTGGTATTTTGTAATGTTATCTTTGACATAAAAATATATTGGATAATCTGAAACATTTGAGTGTGACAAAAAAAAAGGAAATCTGAAAGCTTATTTTCCCAACAGTGTAAATTGTGGGGGTTTTTTCTTTTAGGTGTTTTTTAGTTAATTTTTTTTTTTTTTTACATTTCAGCTCAAAACAAACCCCATAACATCATCAGTTTACTGCATATTTATTAGATAGCAAAAATATAAAGTCATTTGAACTCATAAAACCACACACAAATAATCAAGTGCAAGCAATAAAGGAATAATAATGTACATAAAATTTGTTTTTCCACACCACATCTGCTGTGAATCTCAAAGAAAAGATACTGAAGTCGTACAGTAAATATCGGGATCTCCACGAGTGACAGTAGAGAATATGCAAATATTCAAAAGCAGCAATGCCTAAAAATCAGTCACAGTTAACATGTTATTGTCTAGAAACATGAAAAATGACACAAGTCAAGCTTTCCATTGGCTACACCCTCTGATAGGAACACCATCCCTGCTTTTAAGGTGATCTTAGTGCAGCAGTGATGCATTAAAGTGTCTTGTCTCTGTAAGGCGACACACACTGATGTAAGCTAACAGATGGCTTTATTGTTGTGTAATGAGGCAGAATCATTTCATAAACTTATTCTATTCTGATTTTTACAGAGAAATGGCAAGAATCAGTGTTTAAACAGGCAACGTTGTACACTTTTAGCGAGATATAGCAGGCTCATGTGTTGCGTCTTTATCTGCCTATTAATGCTGTGTGTGATGACAACTTAGCTTTTCTTTTATGCTATATCTCCTTAGAAGCATTCCCTTATTTTCACTATCTTATTCACAGCTACTGCGCTCTGCCATTGGATGATATTTCAGGTCACATTGAAGCAGAATTAGAGAAAATTCCCCAAGTGTGTGCTGAGGCGTACCGGCGGGTCGCCACTAGGTCCTCTTCAGGCAGAGCGGATTCATCCTCCAGCAGTGACAGATGGTGTTGAAGAGCCGGCAGCGGCAGGAGGCACACGGGTCGCAGCAAGGCAAGTGCGAGGAGCAGTTCTCCATGAGGCGGCCGCAGCGCCGCGCCGGGGTCAGGATGTGGGACTTGTGTCTCTGAAACGGAAGTGACAACATGGCACGTTGGAATAGAGACAGGACCTCAGATCTGTGCAAAAATAATAGACCAGGGAGAAAGTCTGGTGGTTGACTCAGCTGTATGTTGGGACGGGTGTGTGAAGGGTAAGCATGTCGCAATAAGAAATTAATCAATCACGTGATCAATTAAAATGAGCTCAATAATCTCCATTTTGATAATTAATATTTTTGAAGGACAGTTTTGTTTACAGAGATAATCCTTGTAGTTATGCTTCCAGTTGTAAGAGATTTTTGTTTTTGGCTGTGTTTTATTTTGGAACTGTCTTCCAGTTCAAGGGTGAAGTGTTCTTCGGAAAAGTTCAAGTTTATTGATGGTCTAGAGGGCGAACTGGCATTATTACACCATTCTCAATATTATCACCTTCATAAAATTGATCACTTTTGAAAAAAATCTTTTTTTGGCAATAGTGATTATTTTGTAACGTTTTTGAAAAGAGAAAATATAACTTATGCCATTATTTTAGAAATGTGACGATATATTATAATATTATCAACTATCGTAATAATTAGGGGGATGATTTATCGTCCAACATAATTTTTTACCGTGACAGGATTAGTGGAAGGATTTACAGGGAAAAAGGTAATTGATAGGGGTTGATCAATAAGGGAACTTTATTTCTTGTTCAGTGAGAGAAAGCAAAACTATCGTTAGCTTACAAGAAGGCATACAGTATTGACTGTACTATGTTAACAATAGATACTCTCAGCATACTATATGCCCCAAGAAAATTGCTTCAATAAAAAAAGATTAAAAACTTACAATGTGAGTCTGCTCTGCTGGAGAAATCTTATGCCTCGCAAATAGTCGTCTTGTTTTAGTTTGTCCCCACACTAGGAAGAGAGATAACAGATGAAAAATAGTTCATTGACAAGAAACATTTTTTCTTTACTTTTAAACATTATTTCAATGGTAGAAAAAAAAACACTAGAATGGAGTTCCTGTGGATCTGTTGCAGGTGGTTGTCTTTAGAGATGCACTGATCCAATAATAACATCTGTATTGGTCTCCATATTGGGAAAAAACATCTATGTCTGGTGCACTTTCTGAACCATTTGAAAGAAGGTTTGATGTAGTTTATTTTTGCATGTTTGACCATAGTAGTCAGCCTATTATTTTTGTCAGTTTCCTTATTATTTATTGTACTTTGGCTGTTCTACTCCTAATTTCACTGTTTTTACATGTTTGACCAGGTTTGTGAAACTATTGGTGTTTTTAATACTGATACAGAGTTATTACATGCATTTGTAATTCAGCACATTTATCTTCAAAAAACAGAAATGCTTTAAGTCAGTTTGGCACTGAGATATGGGTATTGGTATTGAAAGTGAAAAAAGTGGATCGGTGTATTCCTAGTTGTCTTCCAGTCAAATGTGCCTGTAAGATCTCCATGGTTAGAATAAGCAGTTAAAAGGCTTCCTGGCATCTAACTGTGGGCGAGGTCATCCAGCTTTAAAATTAAAACACTTATAATCAGGATATTAATAAGGAGTGTAACGGTACACATATTCAGACCCTAAACATCAAGTACCGCCCTGTCGCTTCCGTAAGCACATGTACCGAACGAATAAAGAATTATGTCATACCAGAACATGCAGAGTGTTTATGTGCAGGAAAAAGGTGTGCAATGCAACTTTGTGTAGCACATTAAAAAGTGACTCCAAAGCATAACAGAGGAATTATCACTTAGCTAAGCTAGCTGGGAATATTAGTGTCTCATGGAGTTATGGTGGAGAAAAAAAGGTTGACCAAAAAAATCGCTTGTTTTATTTATTTATTTGTTTTTAATCATCAATAAAACTACATTCAATAGCTCACTCTACTCTGAACTTAATAATTCCCTAAAACAGCTAAAACTGAATGTAAAAAATCAGATACTGGAGAGACTTTAGCTGACATCTAATCAGCCCAAACTCCGTACATCCAGAGGAATCTACGTTGACGAGAAGAGATTTTCCCAACAGCGATGCTGTAATAATATGGTTTTATTGTTTTATAGTTAATCCAGCTTTTACTGCTTTATTCACACAAAAAAATCCAACCAGATCTCAAGTCAGTTCTAAACTTTCCACTTTTATAAGTCTTAGAACATAAATAAAATTCTTTTAATTTCAGAAACTGAAAAATGTATTTTGTCCTTTTTTTAATGTCTGGATAGCAGTAAACAAAGTACTCTAACATACATTGTTCTTGATTTAACCGTGCCAAAACTCAACTTTAAAACCAGGACACTGTCATGATCCCGGGAACTTTGGGCTTTGGTTTTCCAAAGTCTATCTGCTCATTTATATTGTAGTTTATTTATGTCCAGTAGGTTTTACCCTATTGTGAATATTTCTCAGTGTAAGACTGAGAAGACTGAAGAAATGGAGCTGACGCCGACACAGGACTTAACCAGTAATACTGGGATGACGGACAGACAGACGCAGACAGCATACGCTTGACAATAGACAAGGACCCGACAAGAGACAGAGACAACAGGTGGACATAAATACACATGGGGTAATCAAGGGAACGAGACACACCTGGGAACAATCAACGGGGAAGACGCAGAGACAGACTCACAGGACAGAAACTGAACACAGAAAACCCTAAAAATAAATACACAGAAACACGATCATGACAGAGAAGGGTTTTCTTTTA